ACGCTTTGCAACAACCGGAACTACCTAAGTGAGCAAGAGAAAGTGTGGAAAGAGAAATCCACGAAAGCGCTCAGACAAATGTACGCCAAGTCGCTATGGAAGTTCAACAGGTTTGAGGTGACTAAGATACAATGGAAAGCGACATGTGTGCCTGCGCTGACCTACTGCAACTCGGTCCTGACGGCATCTGCGGATACGCGCAAGAGGTTGGAAACATCGCAGAGGGAAGCAGGCAAATGGGCTCTAGGGCAACCCACCTTCAATATAGCCTATGAGTTTATTGAGGGAGAACTGGGATGGGCTTCCTATGAGAGCAGAGAAGCCAAAAGTAAAATACTTTTCTTTGCTAGACTCGAGCGCATGCCGAGCCACCGATGGCCAAAAGCCATCCTGGAGGCAATGAAGACATGCAACATCTTCAGTGAGGCGTACAAAAGAATGAAACACCTCAGCGGACTGTATGAGTGCGAGTTCGATGAACCGCAACATGTGGAATCTGAAGAACGTCACTGGAGAGCCTTCCGCAACGATGTGAGCGACCGCATCAGAACATTCACTGACAGGGAATGGAGGGAGAACATGGAAACCAAACCGAGCCTGAAAAGATACAGGCAACACAAAATGAACAGGGGCACAATTGATCATGTACATATATGACAACACAAGAGGGAGTACCCTCCTGGCAGGTGCCCGTGCCGGTTTCCTCAACACAAACTCCTTCAGAGCCAGGTTCGAAGAAATAGATGGAAAGTGTGAGCTGTGCGACTGCCACAACGAAACCCTGGAACATGTCATCATTGTCGTCGGTGCCTCGAAGCATTTACCGCCGACGGTTTGAAAGTTGAGTGGCGAGAGGAATAGAGGAGAGACAGAGGAAAAAGTATAGAGAGGAGTTGGTTGTAAGATCCCTTGAGTCACGCATCGATTGGAATGTGCAATAAATTGTGAGAAAAGTGAGAAGTGAAACACGGACATCTTCAGTTAAGTTCGACACTACCGAGAGCTAGAGACGACAATCATGGAGTGCGACGAAGAGAATAGCTCTGAGCCAGAGATCCGCAAAAGACTAGGCCTACACGAAGACTCAACACGAGAAACTGTAGAGCGAACAAAAAGAAGTCTAGAAAGATGGGAGCGGGAGACGAAGAGATCTGTCCCCTGCAAACGTCGGATCAACCAACCTATAACCAGCTGAGAAGACTCGCCCCCGCGCATGGGGTCTCCTGGATACAATGTAAATCTTGTAACACCAGGGATGGTTAATAAATCAATCAATCAATCGATGACAGATGACAGCGTCAAACGGAAAATGAGTGCGGAGTTGAAAGTTCAAAGAGCTGATGTGAATTCAATCAGTGAGTGAGAGCTAGTTGTGATAGTACTCAATCCAAGTATCGTACTCAATAAAATGTAATTCGCCGCTATCTCGAGTCCTCTCTCCTAAAACGGAAAATATACGGTACGAGGTTCCTTCCCAAGACAGGAAGACCCGATACTTCGACCGTGAAACGATAGGGTAATTCGATGGCTCCCCATTTTATTGACAGATCACTCGAATGCATCATGGAGATGAGCAGCTCCGGCGCTCGCCCGATTGGGTGTGATCCTCGGATATTACTTCCGGACCCAATGTTTTTGCTGTTGTTGACTATACTTTCCGGATCGAGTTGTTATGACTTGATCGTCAACACCCTCACTGTGAAGGCTACAGCGTAATACAAGAAAGCTCTGAGTATGGCAGTTGAAGAAATAGTTTCGAAGCGAGGGAAACCCTTGTACATTTTCGAGGGCTATCTCTTCGACGTAGAGAAGAAGAAAGACGATGGAACACTCTATTGTCGGTGCGTACGGAAAAAAGCGGACGGCTGCCCGGCCAGAATGACGCTGCTCAAAGAACCCGATCTGATTGTCAGAAAACAGAGTGGAGTTCATCGCCACGAGCCAGACAACAAGGATCTTATACGTCGCGCAGTCTCTTCTAAGATGAAATTGGCCGTGAAGAAAGATGCCGTCCGGGTGTCAAAGAGGTGTACTCCGAAGCTCTGGTTTCCAGTGTAGGCCAACTGCAGCACAATCACGCCGATGAAGAGATTGGGGTATCCCTTCCTGCGTACGATTCGATCCAGTCGTCTCTTTACAGGGCTCGAGCTAGTAAGACCGTCACTCTCGCCATGGAGAGCCCAAATCGTTCTTGATGGCCCTTGAGGGAGAACCCTCGGAGACGAACCATTCCTCCTCTTCGACGATGGTATCGAGGATCGAATTCTCGGCTTCAGTACGGGGTTCGGGGTGATTTCGGCGCAGATTGATTAGGGCGCATGGTCGATTACGGCGCGAAGTTGAATCGAGCGCAGTATTGATTTGAGCGCATCGTCGATTTGGGCGCAATCGATCCGAGCGCAATCGATTCGGGCGCAATCGATTCGGGCGCAATCGAATTGAGCGGAATTGATTTCAGCGAAATTGTTTTCGGCGCGTGATTGATTTGAGCGCATGGTCGATTTGAGCGCGTGATTGATTCGAGCGCATGATTGATTTGAGCGCATGGTCGATTTGAGCGCATGATTGATTTGAGCGCACGATGCTGTTCGGCTATAAACCTAAGTCAGTAGAGTGTGTTAGCCTAGTTTGGGTTAGGCCACTTCGCGGCCTAACCCAACTAGGCTCCCACACTCCACTGACTTAGGTTTAGTCCGCCTCACAATGACTCTGGTCTGCATATTCTTAATATTCTGAGCAATAGCCTTAAGATACTTGATATTGTCCATGTTTTCGAACACATTCACAATTTCAACCAAACGTTTCTGTCGATCCCTATACACTCGTTTCGACACATTATCGTTCCCTTGAGCCTCGGTATTGCATACGGCGAACTCGACGCTTCCCTGCTCTGCCTTCAGAACTTCGATCAATTTATAGAACGTTGGGTGACTGGAAGCCAACTTACGGGCGAAGGCAGAGTGCCAGGCCTCAACTGAGTTATTTGTTCTGGCCGTCCCATGGAGAGTGGCATCGTAACAGTTCCACCATTCTAGTGGGAAAATCGGGGCGCTGAACTCGCGGCCAACCCATGTTTTCTCAAAATAATTGATAAAAGCCGAGAAAACTGGCATGTGCTTTACAATAAAATCGGATTCCAATAGTTTCGCGAACACGGATCTAACCTGTGCGCATGGAACAAACGCCAAAGCGGCTAACATCCTCAAATTCATATTGGCATCGAGGTTGTTCAGATATTCATGACAGAGTTTGGGGTCGCTCTGAATGTGACGCCAAAGACTCTGATTGAAATGAAAATTGCATCCTACGATTTCAGCGAGTGGGAACCTCGCGGAAAGTTCATTCATTAAAGCCTTTTCGAAGTCCAGATGGATTACTTGCGGCAAAGAGCCATCGACCGCCTTGTGGATGAGCTCGAACAATTTCCTGTAGGTAACTCCATCTTTCGCTGGCAAGAAGGCGTAAATGACCGGGATGACTTTACTCGAAAATAGCTTCACGTGGACTGTAAACAGTTGGTAGAAAATCGAGGGGCACGCTTTGAAAGTGCCGTCCATGAACCATTCGTTACAGTTTCGGAGAAGCTCGAGGTTCTTCGCCGTTGCGAAAACGATTATTCTCTTAGAGTCTCCGACGCCAGAATCGTAATGAAGGAACTGCTCCCCAGAGTGGGTACCCTGAAGCATCGAAAAAAAAAATTTTCTTTCTGCACTCAGTTCAAAAATGATTGTGCAAGCTCAATTCAATTGGCCAACCATCAGCTCGTCAGGAATCTCTAAATCAGCTCGCTGTGATGGGTTGATTCGCATCGAGGGTCCGGCGCGAGCTCTGTGGTAGTTGACTTGCTGGCGGAGCAAAGTGAGATTCGGCATTGAGCCTGAAACTGCCACCGAATTGATGCGTCCAACAACCGAAGAGACCACTGCGGAAGCTACCGAACTCTTCTCTTGCAAGCTCACTTCTCGAAGCTTGCTCAAGTGGCGTCTTTTCTCAATTCCAACAGGATCTGGTGCATGATTGTGCACAGGCAACGGCTGGAAAAATACAACACTAAACACTAGTCCTGCAAAACTCCCCGACCGTTCTGATACTCGTCATCCCCTCCGTTTTCCTCGAATTTTTTCGTAGAATCAACTGAAATCTACTCACTCCGTGAGAATCCTTCTGGGTCGTAATCCGAGCAAGGCAAGATCGATTCACGCAGCGCCAAGTCGTTCTTTCGCATGAACTGCGATCCTTCCGATACAGAAAGAAGTCCACACACAACAGCGGTCGACCGCGAGTTGAGTTCACAAATTGCAGCATTTGGTCCGCATAATTCTAGAACTCATTCAGCACGAGGGAAGGTCCGAAAGCAAGGCGCAAACGTGCGTCGCCGTGCACATGTGCGTCACCGTGCACACGTGCCTCGAGATTCTTTCACGCCGAGATCAGCGCGCCTAAATCAATTATGCGCTCGAATCAAACACGCGCTCAAATCAATCATGCGCTCGAATCAATCACGCGCTCAAATCGACCATGCGCTCAAATCGACCATGCGCCAAAAACAATTTCGCTGAAATCAATTCCGCTCAATTCGATTGCGCCCGAATCGATTGCGCCCGAATCGATTGCACTCGGATCAATCGCGCCCAAATCGACGATGCGCTCAAATCAATACTGCGCTCAATTCAGCTTCCCGCCGT